ATAAACAACGAGTGTGTGAATTGGGAAATTATTAAATTCTACAAGAACCAGTAAAAAATGCAACAAGTAGAACATTATTAATTTTGAAAAAGTTGGTATAGTTAGTTGTTAGTGAGATTTTGAGTTTAAATTAAAATAATATTTAAAATAAAATAATTAAAGTTGATTTGAAGTAAAAGTATGAGAGATGATGTGAAGAGATTGTTAGTTAAAATTATGTGAGTGGATGAATAGTGAATTAAAATTCATGTGAATTGTAAGAATGATTGTTTGGTATTATTTAACTATATTAAAATAGTTCGGTAAAATTTTAGGTTGTGATGATGTGGGTAAATTCTGAATATACTAGCAACTCAAGGAAATCACTTCACAATTAACATTACAAAATGCCATATTATCTCAATTGGGGTTGGTGTTAGAGTCTTGAAAGAATAACAATGAACAGAGTTCAACAGAAAACAAAGAATCGAGTGCATATTAAGCATGTATAAATGCAAATATGGTGACTCGATATCTATCTTACCTAGTCTCCATATTGGAATCTTTACCAAACACAATAGGAAGAGGACCGGCCCAAGTTGGTGCAACAGCAGCAATTGCCTTTGGCGTCAACAAACCTTTTTTGGTAGCTCGTACAGCAATTGTTGCACCATGCCCTCCTCCAAATACCACATACTCATTATCTGCGTTATAATTAGTAGCACGAGTTGTAATTTGACGCATGCTGTCAAAGAGACTTGACATGATGATTTTTTTTTATAAAGACACTGGTTGAATCTAAATCAGTAAAGGCAAATTGATCTAGTTCTATGAATTTAGAAGGAAAAAGTTCTAAATATACTAGTTTATTTTGTTTGAGCCAAATTAGATTCAGACAAGGTTGGATTGGGGACAACTAACTATGTTTGGTCAGCATATAAGCTAACTTATAGCCTATTTGATTAGCTTATAAGCTGAAGCTGAAGCTGAAGGTCACACATCATGGCTCCACTCAATCAACTTTTTACACTCTCCACAGTAATAAACTACATACGAACTTTGCAGTATGAATTTCACCACGACAATCAAGAAGCTCGACACAAATCACGCTTAC